TTTTGTATTAAAAACACTTGTCTTTCATTGGTGGGATGAAATATGCTAATTTTTTGGGACAGTCATTTTGGGTTTTCATGAGCTGTATGCCATAATCATCAGTATTAAAACAATTAAAGACCTGAAATATTTCAGTTGGTGTGCAATGAATCTGAAATATATGAAAGTTTCATTTTTATCATTACATTATGGAAAATAATGACCTTTATCACAATATGCTCATTTTTTGAGAAGGACCTGTATATAAGTGTTCCTCAAGGTACACTGTGGGGTTGTTCTGTGAGTATGGACTGGGGGTCTGTTGCTACAGGCAAATCAGTACCTATTCAAACCGTAATGCCGGCAATAGGCCAGACCCCTCAAGGTGGGAGTTGGACTCCGTCAGTGCTGCCCATTGTCACCAATTAACTTTTATGGACAAAATTTCTCAGTTCTGTCATGGGGTGCAGAGTCTGTCTCTGCTATTGGCAGATAATATGATCCTGTTGGCGTCATTGTACCATGATCTTCAGCGCTCACTGAAGCGTTCACAGCAGAGTGACATGGCTGAGATGAGGATCAGTTCCTCCAAATTTGAGGCCATGGTCTTGACCTGGAAAGGGTAGAGTGCCCTCTCCGGGTCAGGGAGGAGGTCCTGCCCCAAGTGGAGGAGTTCAAGTATCTTGGGGTCTTGCTCACGAATGAGGGAAAAATGGAGCGTGAGATCGATAGGCGGATAGGTGCAGCATCTGCAGTGAAGCGGGCGCTGTACAGGTCTGTCGTGGTGAAGAGAGAGCTGAGTCAAAAGGCGAAGCTCTCATTTTACCAGTCGATATATGTTCCTACCCTCATCAATGGTCATGAGCTTTGGGTTGTGACCCAAAGAATGAGATCTCGGATACAAGCGGCCAAAATGAGTTTTCTCCGCAGGGTGTCTGGGCTCAGATAGGGTGAGAAGCTCGATCATCCGGGAAGGACTCAGAGTAGAGCCGCTGCTTCTCCACATCAAGAGGAGCCAGTTGAGGTGGCTCGGGCATCTGGTTAGGATGCCTCCTGGACGCCTCCCTGGTGAGGTGTTCTGGACACGTCCCACAGGGAGGAGGCCCAGAGGAAGACCCAGGACACGCTGGGGGACTATGTTTCTCTGGTCTGGGAACACCTCGGGATTCCCCCGGAGGAGCTGGACCAAGTGGCTGGGCAGAGGGAAGTCTGGACCTCCCTACTTAGGCTGCTACCCCCGCGACCCGACCTCGGATAAGTGGAAGAAAATGGATGGATGGATGGATGTTCACTAAATTAAACGTGTCCAGAGCCACAAAACCTGCTACAATTGTCATTTTCAACTGGTGGCCCGTGGGCCACTTTAAGTTTGTTAGAGGGGGCTTTTCAGGCCAGTAAGCGTGAAATTATAAAAATAAAAACATCCAATGATTATTGACATTTATTGATATTTTTACATTTTGAGACAAAAGACTAGATTGCACCATCCATTCATTATCTTTACTCCAAGATGTTATTTTAAATGTAAAACACTTTTATCACTTTAATTATTTTCAGTAATCTTTGATTATGATGTCAAAAGTACAACGGAGAACATCAAATGAGACCAATCAAACTCTTGTTGAGGAACCTGCAACCAAGAACAGATGTTGGTTTCTAACTTGAGTTCATGTAGATTCTGAAACTGGCCCTTAGTTTGAAAAAGGTTTTAATTTTGGACCCTTTTGTGAGTTTGACACCCCTGCTTTAAAAGGTTTTTTGTCTGATAAACACAACTGCTGCTTCAAAAATGTATTAGGTTTTAAAAGAAATACCAGTACGTTAAAAAACGATGAGTAAAAGAAACAATTCTTCACTACCTTACACGATACACTGTACATGGAGTAAAAAATGTCCATAAAAGCTCTGTTAGCCAGCTGGACCCCAGTGTGCTCTGTGGAAGGATGAAACACAATCAAGAATTAAAGGTTGGAGAAACTCAGCTGTCTGCAAGACACTTTGAATGTTTGTGAAATGTTCGCCAGCTGTTGTAAAGCGTCTCATTTCAATTTTATATTGTTATTACAGAAATATGTAATTTTACAGCGACATACACAAAATACACCACCGTAGATCATTTAATCACAATATAGCAAACATCAATGTAATTTAATCTGTTCATGTGGACTTTAAATAAAAGTTTGAATGAAGTTACCAAAGAAAGCAGTGGTCTGGTCACTCGTAAGGCCACGGGTTGGATAGATTCAGTCAATGAGAAAGGCCAAGAACTGCGAGGGAAAAACACAGATTTAGTTTCAGAGCTGTGGAAACTGAAACAATTATATTGTGACAGTTTGTCTGCTGCGCATCAACACAACATGTGACGTGAAACCATCAAAATGTGATTTAAGTGAACACTTTAGTCTGAGTTAGAGCTGCAATCTTTTGAACGAGCCCCCAGCCAGAACCGGCCTGGCCCCAAATTCAGGGTGTGTCAAATGATGTAGTTGATGGGCAGGCCGGGTCGGGCTTTTGATGTGGTTTTAGAACTGATGACATTTTTTTTCCTTGGGTGCGCACCTGCCAAGGAGGATCTGGCATGAGGCCGTTGCCCTGGATTACCTGTGGATTATTCTTCACCCCGAGTTTGGATCGCGGTGGATTCTTTTTTCTTACCCAGGAGTGCAGCAGAGGCACGCTAAAGCCCATGGACACTGAGATCCGATGAGATTGTTTCTTTGTATTTTGGCGTGCAGACACCTAGATTGAGTGGGCGTTTCCCTCATCCTCCTTCAAAACGAACTCTCCTTCAAAGACAATAGTTGGACTGAAAGTTACATCAACCTGTTGTTTTTTTATTTATGGGGTTTATTGGATTTCATGTATTGATTTGTAAATGTTGTGGGATGAAATGTTTGTGGGGCATAACTGATGGCTTGATTAAATTGTGTTAACTGCCTTACATGCTACCCTTGGTGGCCAAACTATTATTAGTTTATTTGTGAGAGCTTTTTGCCTGTGCAGATAAATTACTTTATGTTTACTGTACTTGGTTATTCCTACACCTCAACCAATAATATCTGACTGACTCTCTGACTCTGATACACCGGTAAGTGTTTTAAGCTGTCAGCTCCTACATGACTTAATTTGTGTTTTATGTAATTAATCCCTCTTTTACCTGAGTTTTGGGGGCGGGTTGTTACAGATGGACAACCGGATCATCAGCCACGCGTGTCCGCTGACCATTAATAACTATAATATTATAATAACTATAATAATCTGCTGACTCTTCTTAATAAACAAGAAATCTTATATCTTCCTTTCACTGGAATACATTTTTAAATCATGTCAAACTGATTTGCTTACAAAAAGCAGTAAAAGCTTAATTTAAAAAAGTTTTTTTTGTTTTTTTTCCAGGTTCAGGCCTGTAATCACAGTTAATTGGTCGGTTTTGGGTCGGGCTCAAAAAAAAGATATGGGTTCAGGCCGGGCCGGGTCAGATTTCTTTGGGCCCAGATGCAACTCTAGTCTGAGTCCCGTGGTAGGAAAAATAATAAAATGAGACAGAAAAAACGAGGCGAGATGATTTTTTTCTAGTCAATTTCAAATCTAAACTCTCAGTCAGAGATCCCACAACTCATTTTGAACACATCAAATCATGTCTGGTGTAAAGATAAAGGATTGATTCTGTCACAAAGCTCATCTACAGTTGACAGAGATGAAAAAGGCACGCTGACCCGGCATCAGACAGAATTATCCTTCACTACACAATAAAAAAAATCACCAGCTTCTATTTTGTTTTAATGCCCGTCGTCATTTTGATAACAGTTCAAGTCTGATACCTTTTATTGGGATAGTTCAGATTTATTTAAAAGAGGGTATATAGTAGTCCCTCATTTATCGTAGTCCCTCATTTATCGCAGGGGATCCGTACCCTGAAGCCCAGCGATAAGTGAAAAACCGCAAAGTAGGAATAGTAGCACAAGTAGTAGTTTATTTTAGTATTTATATATGTGCTGCCCCTACCATTATACAAGTGGGGTGCCTGGCCCCGTCAACAGAACCGAGCACCCCATCTATCGAACTGCGTGCACCACCCCCACCCACCTGTCAATGTTTCTAAACACTCAAAAAGAGAACAGAATGTCATGATTTCAGCTCCCTGCCTCCGGCTGCACTCTCGGCCACGCCCACTTCTCCGCTCTATGGAGATCAGCTGATCAGCTGCAGGAGGAAGCTTCTCCCACAGCAGTGGAATGCACGCAGGTGTTGCTAAATGAATTAAAATAATGTGTAGTATGACAATATACGAGATATATATGCATACAATATTCACGAGTTCCTCATCTTTCTGACTGTGTAAATGTCGTGCATTGAATTTAACAGAAATGTAACGAGAGACGTTATTTATCTTTGACCCATCAAAATGAATGCGGCCATTTATTTTCAGAATCAAAATTTAACATCAAACATTTACATTAATTTGGCAAAATATGAAAATAATAACAGACAAGTTTCACAGAAAATGAACTTCAATCACGCGGCGGTGATTGAGGACTTTGCTTCAGATATTTCTAAAATATCTGTACTGATTTTATGAGATAGAGGAGAGTTTTAAGATGAAATGGAGATTTATCTTACAGAGAGATATGTGAGGGAATTAATCTGTTTGTCCAGAACGTGCACGCTTCATCAGATCTCAGCTTGCCTCCGGTACACTTTAGTCGAAGAAGAAACTGTTACCTGGTTGACGTAGATCAGCTCGGTATAGAATCCTTCCGACTATTTCAGCGTCTCCGTTGAGAGCAGCTGAAATCCTTCGAGAGTCGTGCGTGGTTTGTTCAAACAGAAGTTATAATCCCAAAACGTCTCTGGATCATCCTGAACGCGTTTGCACCCAAGAACTCTTAACTCCTTTCACTCTAACAGAACTCTCAGGATCTGCATCACTCCCTCCAAACTCTTTCCTTCTAGGAACTGACTAGACTCTTCAAAATCTTTCAACCCCAGCAACTCTGACAGAGCCGGGAAGTTGCCACATTTTAAATGAGTTTACTTCCGGGTTTACTTCAGAGCTTTCTGATTCGTGGATGGACCAGAAAGAGGTGTGGTTTTTGACGTAAGGTGTTATCAAAAGTCGAGGTCAGAGAATGAGTTTGTTTTCAACATACAGAAAAGATTATTGCAGGATACCAGACTTCGTGGAGTCTCACTCTGTTGTATCTTCTCAAATAGTAAAACATGACATCCCTTCTTCAGTAAACATTTAGTTGACCGAAGCTTCAACTTTCACATACTTACGAAGCTTGCTCATTGAAGACAGAAAATCAAGAAATGCATATTAACCTGATTTCTTCTTTGAATGAGGAATAAAAATCATTACTTACTGTTTATGTAAAATAAAAATGAGTAGTTCTTTTCAACCTGTAACATTGAGTGAACCAACACAATTTGATTATCAAACATTTGTAAACAGTGATGATCATAGAGAATTGTCTTTTCTGCTTGATTAATTCAAGAAAGAAAGTCATCAGATGGCTCAGACTGTATTCAGATCAATGAAATAACAGTCCCTGTCCATCTGATAGATTTGGGGTCATCAGGGTCAGATCAGGGTCAGATCAGGTTCACTACAAATGTATTTTAAATAAAAAATTCATGCCGGTCGTGCGGCTCATCCATCAATCAGCCATGTGTCATGTCCAACCTTAATTTGAAAGGCCACAATAGAGCGAGTCCGCAAAAAACTAACCGCAAAGTAGCGATGGACTACTGTATATACACCTTCAAATTATTAATCATGGTTTTACCTGCAGTAGACAACAGATATTTTAGTTTGGAGAATCAAGAAGAAATTCTTATGAGGGAGTCCAGCGAATGGCTAATAAGAGGAACCTAGGAAACTTTTTTTGTTATCTACCTGGATGATTGAGCTTACATTTTTTTCTGAACCACTTTGGCCTTAGTGTCCTCAGGCTGTTTCTGTGAGTAGCAAGTCGGCCATCTGACCTAAAGCATTAGATTTTGGTACATGATGATTAATTGTTTTGGACGGGTGTGTTCTGCATGTGTTAAAAGCATATGTTAGAGATTCCAACAGGACGTTGTCTTGAAACACAGCAGTGAAGGCTACTTATGGGACAGGTCTGGTTGGCAGGACGTAGACTGAGGAAGTCCTCTGAATGGGAGACAAAACGTTTCTCACTTAAAGAAACTGGTCTGGATGACATGATTTAACCTTTTTTTTAAGAACCTAGGAACATTTATTTTTCATAAACAGCTGCATTCTTTTAGGACTAGTAATGAATCGTGACTTGTTTCATTAAATTCTGAATCTGCAAATCCATCCATCATCTTTTACCCGCTTCTTCTATTTTAGGTCACGGGGGTCGCCAGTGCCCATGTCCAGCAATCACTGTGCGAGGGGCGGGGTACACCCTGGACAGGTCTCCAGTCCATCACAGGGACACAGAGACAAACAACCATTCACTCTCTCACTCACACCTAGGGACAATTTAGAGTTACCAATCAGCCTAACATGCATGTTTTTGGTCTGTGGGAGGAAACCGGAGTACCCGGAGAAAACCCACGCATGCACTGAGAGAACATGCAAACTCCACCCAGAAACACCCCCGGACAGGGATTTGAATCGGCAACTTTCTCGCTGAGAGGCAGCAGCTATACCAGTTGTTCCACCGTGCTGCCCATTCTGAAAATTAGAATCAAATAAAGGTGTATTTAAAAATGCCTTTAAATACACAAGTGATCCATCTACAGGTCCTTCTAAAAAAATTAGCATATTGTGATAAAGGTCATTATTTTCCATAATGTAATGATAAAAATGAAACTTTCATATATTTCAGATTCATTGCACACCAACTGAAATATTTCAGGTCTTTAATTGTTTTAATACTGATGATTATGGCATACAGCTCATGAAAACCCAAAATGACTGTCCCAAAAAATTAGCATATCCTGAAAAGGTTCTCTAAACAAGCTATTAACCTAACCATCTGAATCAACGACGTAACTCTAAACACCTGCAAAAGATTCCTGAGGCTTTTAAAAACTCCCAGCCTTGTTCATTACTCAAAACCGCAATCATGGGTAAGACTGCCGACCTGACTGCTGTCCAGAAGGCCATCATTGACACCCTCAAGCAAGAGGGTAAGACAAAGAAAGAAATTGCTGAACAAATAGGCTGTTCCCAGAGTGCTGTATCAAGGCACCTCAGTGGGAAGTCTGTGGGAAGGGAAAAGTGTGGCAGAAAACGCTGCACAACGAGAAGAGG